TTCTTTTGCTGTATATTCTGCAATTTACCAAAGCTTTTTTGGGTACCTCACCAAATAGCGTTAATTCTGCCGCCAAGGCTTCGTGGTCTGAAAGTCCTGAGGGTATAACTTTACAATTTAAATCCCCAAAATCGAAGTTACCGCACATATAATCAATCGTTGTTTCTGAATGACTGGTGATGCGTGTTGGCTCGTTCACAAATACTTTTAAATTAAATGAATGTAACAGACTTATCAAAGCTTTGGTATCTCTTGATTCCGCATCATCCCAGTCGATATTGAGATCGCCTGCGAGAATTATCTTTGATGAAAGTGGGAATCTTAGCAAAAGACTCTCGAAACCTTCCAAAAACATTGCTGGGTTTCCAGATGGAGGCCTATATGCGCATACTATGTGAATATTAATTTTCTTACAAAAATCAGTGAAAATTCAAATTTGTTATTTATAATTAAATCATTGTATGTGTCAATGCACTCGATCTTGTGTGTCATTGAGACGCTGTTGTGACAAAGGATTGCTGTGCCTCCATAACCCTTCGCCCTGCAATATTTGGAAATCATCTTGTATTCTGGAACATAGCACAACTCCTCACCAGTCAGCCAGTGTTCCGTTAAAAGGACAAATGAAGGCATATTTAAATTTTCAATTAAGACATAGAGTTCATTTATTTTGTTTCGTACTGATTGTATATTGAGTAAAAATAAAGTGATTTTAATTTGTTTCGAATCTAGTGCCCTATCTTTGCCCTCCTTCACAGAAACACTGTCGTTAATTAACCTAAAAAAGACGCCGAATCTATGTTACTTTCACTGATACCACTCAATTCAAGTATAATGTCATCAACTCGCTGAGCTATTTTAAGTTTTGCAATATTTTTTAAGACTAAAGAATTATTAAAAATGAAGAATGTAGAATTTAGAAAAGAATTTAAATTCAGAAATGTCTTCAAAATGTTTTTCAGTCGTTCAAATAACAAAATATTAATTTTGTCTTAAGTATCGTTCTGTTGCCCCATAGCGGTACTGAAAATAAAATTAGGTTAGTTTGTAAACCAATCGTAGATAAAACGTCAAATATCTTCATGTCAATTTCACTTCCGCGACGTGCATTCTCTAAACCACCATTATAACAAAGTCTTTTCTTGAGAAGTCTTTTGTCAAAACGCGAATATCTTCTATAATGACTTCTAAACTTGCATTGTGCTTAACAATGGTAAGTATGTCGTAATTTTCCTTTTCGTTAATTTTTAGGAATTTATAGAGATCGACAACTGTACTGTCACCTATTATAAGCACTTGATGCTGTTTGTGGATTTCTGTAGGTGTTTTGATGCAGTTTGTTGGGGTGAGATTGTCGGCAGTATGTTGAAAATTGTCAAAGTTTAACATTTTCAATTCTTTGACCTCTGCCATGTATAAGTCCCTTTCCACTTCAAGAACCTCGACCGATGTCCTAAGTTCACTGTTGGTTCCCTTTATTTCATTAAGCATTTCCTGTTCTGTTTTTTGTTGATTTTCACAATCTGAAAGCTTTCTTTCAAAGATGGCATTAGCATTTTTTAGATGTTTTATTTGCTCTTCCAATTCAAGCACCGTTCCAACAACGGTTGAAGCTACAATGTCGGTTTGTGTTATAGAGTTTTTGAAGTTTTTATTCCTAATGTCCGTTTGTGTAATACTCGGTGTAATATCATCATTCAAGCATCCTGCGGTTGAACAAGGTCACTTGTGTGACCCATAAGTTGGTATGTGAACTTGGGTCGACGATGACCTTGGTTAATACATATAAATATGGGTTGGGAGGTGTTTGATCTTAGTACGAGAATTTTTGTTTAAAGATTTCTTCCAATCGCTTCGGAACTGGGGTTGGCTCGGGTCAAAACCCCGAAATTTCAGATCAAAGGCGCCGCCGATCTAGAGATTTTCCCACGGTATTGAAAAAACTTACACCAAAGAAATTTACCATTGTAAGATGGTTCCACATATCTACCTCTTTCCTCGTCCCGCATAAAGCTATCAAAAGAGAAAAACACCGAATTATTTAGATCATCATTTATTCGGGCTTGAAGCATTGAAATGTATCTACCTAATGCTCATTATTTTTTTATCAATTCGTTAGCGGTTTTTTATATTGCATTTATTTAAGGACTAGCAGGCATTACGTGGACAGGTTAGTTTCCATATTTTTGGTTAGTTCCGTTACAGTTCAGTTATTACTGGTTATAAGTGTACTGGTTAATTCAATATTAATATGTAAGGACTAGTACGCATTACATGGACTACTACAGAAAAGTTCCATGTGCTAGTCGAATATTTTTATTTAATCCTCTAGGAATGATTCCAATGAAGAATTTCAGTTTGTTTTACCAATACATATTAAATATTGAGGTACTTAAACTATTTCAACAATGAAAATTGTATAATAATATTTGATAAGAGATCCATGGCTAAAAACAAGTAATTTTCGGTTTTGTGTTATTTTTCCTCCAAATTTCGCAGACAGCCCTAAAACATCGTTCAATCACTTTTTCTAATTGACTTTTTTCAAAATTTTGCCATCTAACTCCATTTTTCGCGTTCCATACCTAAATTTTCGAATTTGCCGCCACAACAGTGAGCACGTGACCAATGTCATAATGTACTTTTAGGTTATCGGTTATCGGACATGCAGGATCGATCGTACATAAGAAAAAATTCCATGTCCTACAAATAAAAAAACTTACTTACGGTCACTGTATAATATTTTATATTTGGATTCTACTAGGACTCATTTGATGTAAGCCTTTCTGAAATATTGAAATATGAAAAATGTCAATACTTGATTTTCGCCTTTTTAACTACAAGAGGGTTCGCCGACATTTTGCTGCCAATTCCGTTATTGACTTCCTCTAGTTTCTTCTCCAGTTTTCAATATAATCTTTTTTTGAATTCTCACAGATCGTTCCTATTTCTCTCGGACTTCTTGTCCAATTTTCTAGAACTATCCGGCGATTTTGTTTATCTACATATTTATGTTTTCGTTCTTCTCGTTCCTGTAGAATTCTCTGGATCGGTCCTGTTTTTATTTGCACTCTCTGTCTTCTTCTTTCTGTTTTCCATTTTTTCGCAAAACTTTCTGCACATCCTATTGTGAGTCTACTCGTTGTTGCGAAATGTTCTAGAGTTGATCTTGCTCTAGCTGTCTCTTGTCTTTATTTGCATATTTTTCGTTTAGTCGCCTGTCTTTTTCTTTCAGTCGTCTGTCTTCTTGGTCTTCCGAAATTTTCTGGAGTGGGTCCTGTTCTTCGTCAGCAATTTTCAATAAATCGAGTAGTTGATCTTCCATTTCGGTGGGGTGTGGTCTCGTTTTCAACATAGACGAAAATTTGTTCATTCACTTAAATCACTTCTGACACCAATATTTATTGTTACCTAAGCATGATCACAGATAAGTAAGACTAGTCTTCCATTACCTTTATTCAGAATGATAACGCCAAAAACATGACAGAACAAGCACTATTACAACACTTCCTTTAAAACAAAACTAACTCACAAGTCACTTATTTGCTTCTTTGGCTCATAAAAAATAATAAATTCAATGATTGATTTACCAGATATTTTAATTTGTTGAGTCTCATAGATTCTAATTTACCATAGAGAGACTTGCCTTCCAGTTGTTCATTCTGAATTGAGTATCATAGAACTAATTATGGAATCGCATCTAGTTTTGAAAGAGTATGTAAGTAAGCTGATACCTTGTGTACAGCAGTGGATCTATTCAATACAAGTTTGTTTCAATGCGAAAATTAAAATACAGATATTTTACATACAGTTGAGATTACATGCCATTATATTCAATTCAATGTTTTTCTAGAGAGATCCGGAGTGCGATTTTGACTATACATAGCGTGTAGTTATAAGTTTGAAATTACATAGTTTTAATTCGATATTTGTCGTGTACATTTCGATAATTGCCGAGATAATTCCTAAGTGAATTTTATGTAAAGTCAATTTGTTTAATAAAAATTGTTACTGTTTGTGAAATGAATTTTGGTGTTTCGGAATTCGTGACAATATTGCCACTCGCTTAGCTTTAGTATCCTATAGCGGTTTAAATTGCTATGGGGTAAAGTCCATTGAGCTAGCACCTTCACAATAGGATTTCGATTTTCAGCATAGCTCAGAATTTCAATCACCAATAAACATTTATGGATTTTTCATAAAATCAATTAATTTCACTATCCACTGTCTAAAACAAAAAAAAAAACACAGAATTCGACTACACTTGAATTTTGGGTGCTTAAATTATTCTTGAAACAATTTCTGAAAAACAACACTCAACCCCCAAATACAACCCTCAGTTTTCAAATTGAACTGCCCCTCATACATAAGTACCTATATTAACCAAAGCAAAGTTTACTCAATGCAATAATATCTTATCAAATATTAAGTATTAAAACTACACAATAAAATAGAATTGAAGGTATCATACAAAATCTAAATTACAATGTAATGATTTTCGCACTTCTCTTTTAAAAATAGGAGGGTCATTTAATTTTTTTTTTTGCTTAAATAATTGTTAGGTTGTAATGAAATGCATTCAGCAAATTTTCCAAAAATTATCGATAATTTTTATTGCACTTGTTATGTTATTAAGTATTAGATATGCAATATTATAGACATAATAAAAGATAATTCTTTATTCAAGCATAAAATTGCAGTTCCACCCAATTTAATACATGGTTTTTCTAATTTTTATTCCATATTTTTGTCTTTATCAAGTATCCACTTTTGATAAGGATTTAAAATACCCTATCCTTAATTTTTTTTTGCATTAAAGTGCAAAAATTTGTCGTCCTTGACATCTAAAACATACTACAACATCTTTCCTCTGATGGGATATAATAATGTATTATTAAGTAACATATATTCTTATCTAATCATTTTTGTAAATATACATCCCAGGGAGGTTAGATTCCAAATTAAATCAATTTTATTTATTTAAATTATTTTGATTGCAGCGAAAAATCCCGGCAAACAATTCAACTAATCTTGGCCCAAATTAAATCTCTCTCACAGAACGACAAGTACCTGCTGTACCTAAAACTGCCTTCGGAAATTACGGACATTATCGATCCATTTAGGCAACCCTTAAATCCTTTAGGGAGTCGCTCCGAAATTTCTCGAACTATTGTATGGATTCAAACGCATTTAGAGGAGGACCAAAATATATCTTTGCCTAAAAAGGAAGTTTACAATGAATATGAGTAAGTGATAAATAGTTAATAATTAATTACCTAATTTAAGAATAAAACAATTTGTATTGGTCAATTACTTGAGTTTATGAACTATACTTATTTATTTATTTATTCAAGCACTTAACAAGTTGCTGACGCACCCAATTACAAAGTACTATAGTGATTTAAGCTCGGATTGGAGCCAACTATGAACTACTTTAAATTAATACAAAATTGCATCCATACCACTACGCTTTTCTAAACTTGGAAATGCAGATAAAAAAAATATGTATTAAACTTTTGAGGAACAAGGGAAGAAATTTTAAATTCTTATTTCCCAAAATTTTACAGTTTGTGCTTTATCAACGCATCACATTCACTTCCTCCATGTTTTTCTGTGCAGTGTAGAAAAACTTCTTTCCTATTTTTGCATTCCTTTCCCATGTGGCTAAACTTCCAGCATTTGTAACATTACACGATTTTCACATGATCTACAAAATAGCATGATTTTCCTCGACGATTTCCATCCTATACTATAATTGTTCAACCAACCAACAATCCAATCTCAACTGCGAATATGTATGTGGGTCCACCTTCATAATAATATTTGTTCTTGGTCATTCTAATTAACTTGTTTTCATCTGCGGATATTCTGTTCTGTTTGATAATTTTCTCCACCAAATTTTTGTCGTTATATTACAACACAGCCTGTTTTTTGACATTCATGATTATTATCCTTAGATTTTTTTTCTCAGGTTCTTTTCTTTCACTTTCACTTTACACACGATCTTGAATCCTGATTTTCTTTCACTTTTCAAATGGACGGTTTTTTCACTAATAGTTATTTATGTATCAAGGGAATTAGGAGGGTGTTAAAACCCCAGGGCAACATTTGTGTTCCGAGGGCCTCTGGCCCGAGGGACACCATTTGTCCGTGGGTATTAACGCCTGATAATTCCCGTGGTACATAGATAATTTTATGTCCTACTAAATTTACTGTATTCTGTCTATTTTTATAAAGGAATACACCATAAATCAAAATTTCTATTTTTTGTCAAAGTTTTAAAACCTATTCAAGGTAACAGCGCGAGTTATGGAAATCCTTAACTCCCTTGGGAGTTGGGACCCTGTTTATGATTATCGTAACCAAGGTATTATATGGTTATAATAGTTCAGTAGGATATAAAATTGGTTTATGTTATTAGATTCCCATTTATTAATCGCCACTGTTAAAGAAATAACATTATTTATATACAGGGTGTCTCAATAGAAAGTGACCAATTGTAAATGCTTATAACTTCTAAACCAGGTGTGCTAGTTACCTGCGATTTGCACCATTCGAGTTTTCTTGGCCTAAAGTTTTTTTCAGTTAGTTGCAAATTTTTTTCACACTTATACAGGGCGAGTAAAAAATGCCGTTTTTCAACATCGAAATTCTCCACTATTTTTATTGAAACACCATGTATGTTGCAACGCCAAAATTAAGAGTCGTGTACAAGGTTTTGATGTACCAATAAAAATCGGGCATGGAACTTGAAGTTTTAGCCCTAAAAAATCTGGTCCAAAAATAAATGCATTTTTTTAGGTTCAAAAAAAGCCGGCGTTTATTGGCAAATGAATACCTTGGTCACGACTCTTAATTTTGGCGTTGCAACATACAGTGTGTTCCATTAAAAATATTGGAGAATTTTGATGTTGAAAAACGGCATTTTTGTTACTCGCCCTGTATAGGTGTGAAAAAAATTTGCCACTAACTGAAAAAAAACTTTAGGCCAAAAAAAGTCGAATGGCGCAAATCGCAGGTAGCTAGCATACCTGCCAACCATTTAAAATCGGTCACTTTCTATTGGGACACCCTATATTTTTTGATTTGGTTTCTTGACTGTTTTTCTCGAGGTTTTTCTCAAATAGTGAAGGTTTCTACTGGAAGTTAGTCAAGTTGAAAAATATAAACTTATTATTCATATAACAATGTTAAATGTAATATATGTGTTTTAGACAGTACTGTGACAAAAATCACATCAAACCCCTATCCCAGGCGGATTTTGGAAAAGTAATGAAACAAGTATTTCCAAAAGTCAGGGCGAGAAGACTGGGCCAGAGAGGAAATTCCAAATACTGTTATTCGGGACTGAGGCGACGAGTCAAACTTAAAACACCTATTTTACCGGATCTAAATGACAAACCATTGGTAAGTTGTAATTATATTTTTTTCGTCATTCTGTACTGTTATAATAGTTATATATAATGTTATTTGCAATTATCGGTCGTGTTTCGTTCTAAATTTTTCGAGATACTGCAGATATCTTTCGATCTGACAAAAAAAAAACACTCTCCTATATAGGGGTTTGTTTAAAAATAACGGCCGGCTGTTATTTATATTTTAACAGGATGGCGGATAAATAACGGATGGCGGGCGTTAAATACACTTTTTCGATTTTAATTTCTCTCGTGTTATAGTAAGATACCATAACAGTATAACGGAACTCTATTATAAAAGGATCAGAACTGGAATTAAAAACTTATGCTTAACGACCGCCAGCCGTTATTTTAAACATACCACAAGAAAAATTAGGTATTTACGAATTATTTACATGTTTTTGTCAGATTGAAAGATTCTGAAAAAAAATCTTCTAGCCGTTATTAGCTATCTTCTTTATGTTGTGTATTGAAACACACTTACTGAGCTTTAATTCACTTTATTAGCCAACACAAAATGATTATAATTTTTGTCACTGACCGACTGCTATTGACATATATGACAATGACAATCTATAACAATTAAAATAGGTATTTTTATAAACTGGTAAAACACAACATTTCTCCCCGCGTAAGACAAAGACTCAAAGGTTCAATCTTACTGGAGACTTAACAATTCTACCAGAACGTCTATGCACCGCAGAGGAAGCTGAAATAGAGCGTCTGGTACTCTGACCTTCTTGTGGCTCAATTGCAACTTCCCTAACACGAGGCGGTTCATTTACATAGAGATTTTGAATCTGGTCATCGGATTCTGATGTAGGCACAGATTGTGTAACAAGTTCACATATTGGTGGTCTGATGATTTCACAAGGTATTTCAGATTCCACCGAAGCGGCACTGATATTAGGTACCTGTTGCTTCTCAGATTCCTCCAAAATTGATTCACCAGCATCCGAGCGACACTTTTGGGAGCACTCTCTCCCATCACGTAAATCGCCTGAATGTACAAACTTAATATTGTTTTCACATTTGACCAAATATGTACAGTAAGTAAGGACTTTCATTACTATGCCCTTTTGCCATAACTTCGTCTGTTTGTTCTTAATAAAAACCTGATCGTTGACTTTGTAATACGCTTATCTATATTTGATGTTCTTTGATTATTATGACAAGATGGCTTTAGCAATTCAAATCTTGTTCTTGGTTTATTTCTAAATATTCCTTCAGCAGGTGAAATGCCTGTTACAGTAGAGGGCGTGTTCCGGTATGTAAACAAGAAGTTTTGCAACTTATTTAAAATTAAATTTCTTGAAACATCTTCCCCTTTTTGAGGAAATAATGCTTTCTCTAATCCTTTCTTTACAGTCTGGACACTACGCTCTGCTGCACCATTACTCTGTGGGTGATAAGGAGGTGACTTGATGGGTTTAATTGCATTTGCCTGGCAAAATGCCACAAATTCGCTAGAATTATATGGCGGCCCATTATCGGATACAAGTTCCACTGGGAGGCCAAAGACTGCAAATATGTCTTTTAATTTTGAAATTGTTTCTAACGCATTTGTGCCATTATTCATTAGCTTGACTTCGATCCATTTTGATCTTTGATCTATTAGAATTAAAAAAACATACTTATGTTTAACAAAAAAATCAATGTACACTCTGTAAAAATTTCGAGGTGCAGATGACCATGGCATTAAGGCGGTATTAGAATTTGTGAAATTTTGGCATTGTTGGCATATATCACAACAAGATATAAATTTTTCTACATCTAAACTTATATTAGGCCACCAGCAAAAGGAACGAAGTAACATTTTTGTTCTCACAATGCCATTATGCTGTTCATGAAATAATTCTAGAACATCTTTTTGTAAAGTCTTGGGTACAATTACTTTATTCCCCCACATTATACAATGATGTTCTATAGACAGTTCATTGCGCTTTTTAAAGTAAGGCTTTAAATTTTCGTCTGATACAAAATCAGGCCATCCTGATAGAATAAAATCCTTAACTTTAAGAAGCAACAAGTCTTTAGCTACTTCGTTGGCAATATCGCAACAGTTTAATGGCATCTGATTCACCAAGTTAAAAGAATACAGAAAATCGGGAACTTCGGTTCCTTTATTGCAAGGCAGACGGGACAAACCATTTGCATTGGAAATAGAAGTACCTTTTTTATATTTAATGTCATATTCATACCCTGATAGCGTGACAGCCCAACGGGTGACTCTGGCAGCGGCTGATGTCGGAATGCCCTTATTACGTCCAAAAATAAATTGTAGTGGTTGATGATCAGTAACCAGAATAAAGTTACGACCATAAAGGTATTTGTGCAATTTTTTCAAAGCAAAAATAATAGCAAGAGCTTCGCGTTCTAAATTACTGTAATTTTTTTCTGCCGCTGACAATGTACTCGAAGCAAATATGACAGGTTTGTCCTCATTACCTATCTTATGACTTAAAACGCACCCCACACCATAACTGCTCGCATCGCAAGTGACATAAATTGGGAGAGTTGGGTCATAATGTGTCAATACACTCTCTGATGTTAACCATTCTTTACTGTCTTGAAAGATATTGGCACATTCCTTGGACCAACATTTGGAAAAATTGATATTATTTTGACATAGTTTATACAAAGGTTTCAATCTTGTTGATAACATTGGGATGAATTTACCATAATAATTCAATAAACCTAAATATGACTTCAATTCGGTAACTGTTTTAGGCGCAGGTGCCGCTTTAATGGCCACCACTTTCTCTTCTGTTGGATGTATTCCAGCTTCATCAATAATATGACCCAAAAACTCAACTTGATTTTGAAAAAATTTACATTTACCAACATTGACTTTGACATTAAAATTCTGAAGACGCTCAAAGACTTTTCTTACATTCGCATAACATTCACTCAAGGAAGAGCCTACTATCAAAATATCATCCAGGTAACACTTTGTATTTGGTAGACCCGCCAAAATATTATCCATCACGGACTGGAAAATACCAGGTGCTGAACTAACACCATATGTTAACCTCGTATAAGCAAAGAGGCCCAGATGAGTATTTATGACTAGCATTTCTTGAGATTTTTTACTTGCTTTGAGCTGTTGGTAGGCACCTTTTAAATCGACCACCGTGAAATATTTATGACCACTCAAGCTAGCAAAAATGTCATCAGGCAAGGGTAAAACACAATGATCGCTATCTAAGACCTGATTTAACGTTTTTTTAAAATCTACACAGATACGAATTTCATTAGATGCTTTTTTGGGGACAACGACAATAGGACTAGCCCAGTTACTAAAAGAGACCTTTTTCAAAATATTTGCACACTTTTTCTTTCAAAGCAAATGGCATATCGTACGCTCTATGAAAAATGGGCTGAGCTCCCTCTTTGAGCTTTAGTTCTACCTCAAAATGGTTAATAACAGATTCTGGTTGATCAACAAAAACATTTCTAAAATCATTTTTAATATTAACCACTAATTTAGAGATTTCTTGACTCTTCACTGGATTAACCTTAGACTGACTCACAAGACTGATATTTTGCAATTTTGCGGATTCAGACATCAGCCCGCCATAATCACCAACCTCTCTGACTACACCCACAGCTTCAGGCTTATTACTGAAGTTAATTTTTTTTCTCCAATCTGGATTTAAAATATTTAGCCAATTTCGACCTAACAGAGGTGCAAACTTGTGACTACTTTTCAATATCACCAAAGGTAAACTAACAATTTCATTGTTGAAAGTAACAAAAACATCTGTTTCTCCCATTATACGGACTCCCTGACCAGTAAGTACTCTTAAATCATATTTAACATTGTATAAATTTAGCCCTGACAAATACTTATGAAAATCATCAATATGCATTAGTGAGCGACATGCTCCACAGTCTATTTCAAAGTTTAAAAATTTACCTTCTACTTTCAGCTTCACTTTCTCTGGTTCGGTTTTACCTGTCGCTAATGTTGACAAAAATCCCAAGACCAAGGAATCTTCATTTTCTGGCTCATCTTCTTCTTCGACAAGATTTACCCTTTGGCTTCGGCAAACTCTACTGATGTGACCAATTTTCTTGCACTTAAAGCATTCCCAAGTTTTCGCAGGACAGGTGTTAGGATCATGTTTACGTAAACATCGAAAACAAGACTTGAGTTCCCTCGACTGATCCCTTTGGTTTGCAGAATGACTTCTATCCGCTAACCTATTTGAGCTAGGACCTCCTTTTCTAAATGACAATTTATCTAAGTCTTCCATGACCACTGACAACCCACTACTGCTGCTCTCAGCACCCATCGTTTTAACTTGTCCTTCAGCTAATTCCATGGACAGTGCTATTTCAAATGCCCTTTCAAAAGTTAAATTGTCTTCCGCCAAGAGTTTACGCTTTATTGCAAAGGAACTAATACCACAAACCAATCTGTCTCTCAGACATTCAGACAAAAATTGACCAAAATTGCAATATTGGGACACTTTTTTCAATCTTGCTACAAAGGACTTGATTTCTTCATTTGACTCTTGACTCGTGTTGTAGAATTTGTACCGTTCCGCAATGACCAATCTTTTGGGACTGTAATGCTCTATCAATGACTTCCTCAAAATGGCATATGTCTTGGTGCTCGGTAATTCTGGAGCCAATATAACTTTTAGGACACTATAAGCTTCGCCTCCTATTAGGGTCAACAAAAGGGGTACCTTTTTGTCGTCTTCCACAACGTTGCAAATAAACAACTGTTCTAGTCTTTCTAGGTAAGATGCAATATCACCTGTCTTAGAGTTAAATTGCTCAATTGACCCAATCAAAGACATTTTAATGCTGCGTGCTTTTACTGAGGCCTATAAACTTTTGACAGCAGTTTTGACAAACGAATCTAAAAAAAAAAGCCGATACCGTTTTACTAACTTTTCGAGTTCTACGCGTTGGTTCGGACCACTTCTCGTCGCCAATTATGTTGTGTATTGAAACACACTTACTGAGCTTTAATTCACT